TTATTCTTGTAGAACATACGGCTTCAACTGCACGTCTTCGCTTGCTTCCGTCTTCTCCTCTACTTTTCACCTGCATCCATGTTAGTCCATACTCTTTCAGCTCCTCTTCACACCATCTCCTCCACGTCACCCTTGCAACGATGTCCCACTCGCCGCTTCCCTTTAGAGTTCAACTCGAGCAATGGCCTGATGCGCGCGCGATGTCATCCAGCGGCATCCTCAGTGAGTGTCCAATCCATCCATTTCCACTTTCTCCTGCATATTTGTTGGTTGGCGACTGGTTCTTGTTTTGTTTCTTCGCATAGTTTCTTGATGGTGATTCTTTCTGGCCCGGTCATCTGATCATCAGTATAGAGCGAAGACAGTTGTTGATAAAGGTCTGCAACAGGCTGTTGGAAATATTCTTTGTAACCAGCCCACCAAGTTTCTGATCCGTGTAGAAGAACTGACTGGCTTGACGCTGTTTGTATTGAAAATCCTACCGAATTTTGTTGTTGATGCTGAGTGATAAAGATTTCCAGATTGGTTTCAGTTTGATGAATGTGTTTCTCCCTGGCCTTCCCGATTCTCGCTCGACTTGACACCCTCGTCCGTTCCGACTTCCTGTAGTTGAGACAATGCTCCCTAGCCAGATAAATGTGAATGAAGTAATCTCTTTCAAATCCCTCCCGTTGATGGTGATTGACGCTGTATGTTTCTGCTGTTGTTGTTGTTGGTTGGTTGGTTGGTTGTTTTCATCACCTCCGTCTTGTTTATGTTCACTTGGAGTCCTGTCTTTGCTGCTTTTCGATCAGTTTGTCGGTTTTCGCATATAAATCTTCAATTTTGTGTGACATCAAACATAAGTCATCCACGCGCAAAATCCAGGCCTTCTAGGTTCTTCACGTCGGTCCAGGATATTCCTGTCTTCTCGTTTCCCACACACTGTCTGACGCATAATCCAGTCAGTGCACCACAATTAGGAATATCATTGGTGATAGATAATAAGCACCCTTGTCTGACTCCTGTGTTTACTCTAAACGCCTCGCTGAGTTTTCCGTTGTGGATCACTTGACATGTGCCGCCGTTGTCGTACAGCTGTTGAATAAGGTTGATGAATATTTGGGGTACGAATATGTGACTCCTAATCAATTTATAATCAATATTATTCGAATTCAGCATTTCCAATCATTGTCAAACTTTGACGCATATACAGACACACAAAAAAACTAATTGTTATTGTTAATTATAATTCATTTACATAAATACGACTTTAGATTAATGAGAATGAAATCGTCGAAAAGGAGATTTTCTTCACTTAAATCCTTTTTTATATGTCTCAATGGGGATTATTAATTTAATAATCAAAGTATTAGAAACACAATCTTCAGCGAAAGGAGTCATTTCAACGAATTTATTTTCAAGCTTTACAATTGTATATTTTTATATGTGGTTTTTATGAATATATAGGAATTTTTTAAACAAAGATGCGAACACATAAAACTATTAAAAGGAAATGCAATTAAAATCTTTGTGATTATAATCATAGTTAAATAACAAGCGGTAAAAGGAATAATGTTATAAATAAGAGAGTTCATAGAATGTACAGATGCTTTAAAGGAATGCCAACTTATAGGATAAATAGGATTATTGGGCAATTTAAACATTACCAAACATGGTGAGGGAGGTAGCTTTTCTGACCTATAAATTCAACTGCTCTTGCAAAGAAAAGTTCATCAGCGGCGGCCAGAGAATGAATTCCACAAGAATATAAGGGCAAATTCCAACATGACTTTATAGAGGAGAAATGGTGATGGTGGTGGGGTGTGTGTGAGAAGTTCTAATCTAAAACACTTGATCGACTCCTGTCACTCTACTAACTCCAACCATCATTTCAAGATCATCTATGGAATTCATGGCAAGTTTTCACATTTTCTTCGTCGTAAACTTCTAGCGCCTTGGCCAGTCAGAAATTCAGATGAAACCTTTGTGTACAGAAGAAGTGTGTACAGTCTCTATTTCCACCTTTGCCGTAGAGGGATAAATATTTATTTATTTTTCACTTTGTTTATTTAGTTCATCTATGTATGTTTCCCTTATGATCACGATCATCATTATTATTATTCTCTCTCTGAAGAGTTTCCGGTGTTGTTTCATTTGTTCCACTTATTATTCCGATTTAATATGCTTTTGCAACGTTAAATTCTATATCATCAAAGTTATCATAATGTCACGTAATATTTTATTCGTTTACTAATTCTCTTAATTTCATGCTCATTTCAACATCTATACATTTCAGGAATTAATATATATATATATATATATATATATATATATATATATATATATATATATATATATATATATATATATGACATTATTTGTATAACTACGACTACAACTACAAATATTTTCAAACAAGCAACAAAAATCAATAGCAATAATAATTATTATTATATCCCTTAATTCCTAGAGGAACATAGGGCTTCAGCTGCACGTCTCCATTGCCTTCGGTTTTCTGCCAACTTTTTCACCGCGCTCCAAGTCTGCCCACACGCTTTCGTCTCCTCTTCACATAACCTCCTCGAAGTCACCCTTGCATTGACGACCAACTCGCCGCTTCTCTTTCGGGTTCCACTCGATCAATGACTTGTCTAGTGATGTCACTTGATGGTTCGCTTTCCTCAGAGTATGGCCAATCCATCTCCATATCTCCCTGCCTATTTGTTTCACAATCGGTTCCTGGTGGGTTGGTTCGCTCATTGCCGGAGATCCCTGTTGCTGAACTTTTCAGGCCGGTCACCTGATCTTGAGCAGTGTTGAGCGAAGACAACTGTTAATGAAAGTCTGAAGTTTGTTTGAGATGCTCTTTATGACGCGCAATGCAAGTCTCTGATCCGTATAGTAGGTAGCACTGACTTCACCTTGGAGTTGAGAATCCGGATCTTATTTTTGATGGTGAGTGCTGTTGACCTCTAAACGGACTTGAGAGTAATGAAAGCTTGTCTTGGTTTTCTGATTCTTGCTTTGATATCCTCGTCATTTCCGTCCGCCTGTAGTAGAAGCGATGCTTCCCAGTTCGGTAGGTAGAGGAGGTAGTTTCTTTCAGGTTCCTCCCATTTATGTTGACTGATTGTTGTCTGTTGTTGTTGCTGTTGGTGTTGGCCAGGTGTCTTCATCACCTCTGTTTTCTCTATGTTCACTTGAATTCCTATCTTCTCTGGATGCTTCTTCTGCCAACTTATTGCTTTTCACTTGCATATCTTCCAGTTTGTGGAAAAGGCAGGACTTAATGAATTCATCAATCTTTGGTAATAGTCTTCAGTTGGATACTCTCCATACAGGGATATATCTGCCATTAGAATTATATTGGGATATATAAGACTGAAAAGATGTCATGAATTTCGAACTGAACAGTAATGATAATAGTAGTGATGCTAATAGTAGTAACAATAATAACAATAATAATAAATAATTATAATGTTCATACTGATTAAGATAATATCTTTGACAAAAGACTGTTTTAAGTGAATCATAAACAATAATAATATAGGGTAGAATAAAATATTAATACTAATTCTACCACTTAATAAATAAAGCACATTACAATCGTAGATTCAGAGGGACTGGCACTTCCTTCTGTACACAGAAACCTCACTTAAAACCTTCGCAACTGCTAGCATCTTTCTGTTCGCTTGTCTGCTCACACTAGTGGTTGACTCGACAAAGTCATTGTCACGTCCATAGTCCACAACATGCTTTGTTACTGACCTTTCAGGCAATTTCACTTCAGCTGTTTTCAACCACTGTATTTGCTCCCACAAACACACTCAAACTGATATAAGCAGTTTGAAGTACTGAGGATTGGCGAATGATTTTCCTCACACATTGTTTCAGCACCTACTTGGCGTTGTTAAAGGGGATAAAGTTTTGTAACTCGATAAGTTCTCTTGTTGCTTAGCCTAAATTCATTTCGGAAAATAAATGTTCCCAAATATTTTGACTTGCATTTCATACTACTACTATTATTATTTTAAGTATTCGTACCTTTGCTTAAATTTCGTCATGGGATATAATTTTTTTTAAATCATATACACAATGGTACAGCTGGATAATGAATTCGTTGAGAAAAGTCTATATCTGGTATTCTTAATGTTGCGATGGAAATTATTATTCTAATAATCAAATGATGTTAAAAAGTACGCATTTAAAAAACTATAAGTGTCTTTGGTTACAGGATTTCATCATAAGCTGATATCAGTTAGAGAAACATTGGAAGACCAATGAGCACTGGACAGCTGTTTCGTTCTAGTGGTTAGGGCTCTTCAGTGGCACTCACCCCCCACCAAGATTCGAACTCGGGACCTTCGAGGTGCAAGGGTAGAGAGCTCAAAGGCTATTAAGCCAGTGGGACGCGAACCAGTGGCCAGCCAGTGAATTTCAACTTCTGTCAATTCACGACTTAGCGTGACCGCTAGTCAATGTCTTGCGTGAGTATTCGTCCTCACACCCGACCTGTTCCCCGCTACTGGTTACGAGTTGCCACTAGAACCCAGATAACTGCCCATCTGAATTGGGGCATTAGTTCGAGTCCCAGTGGCTTGATGGTTTATTAGCTTGTCTCGTAACCAGAAGGTCCTGGGTCCGAACCCCGCACTCTGGGTGCGCATTGATGAAGAGTCACAACCACTAGGAAGAAACAGCTGTCCAGTACTCGAGGGCTGGTTTTTCAATGATTCTCTAACCGATGTCAGCTAATAGTGAAATCCTCTAACCAATCAAACGAAATCTCTAGAAACAAAAACGTAATAACAAATAATAAGTATCAAGTCAGGATATGATATAGAAATGTCAGAAGAATGATAGGCAGTCTGGGAGAAGAGTGGATAATAATCACAAAGTTAATTGAAACATCTAAATAAGTAAAAATATTGTAATTAGATTATTGAGGCGGATTTTTCTAAACAATCATTCCATCTCATATTCTTTATTTTCTACCTTTCCATGTTTTTCTGTTTCAGATGGTCGTTGCCAGTGCATATTGTAAATGCCTACTATAAAGAGAATTCAAATCATATTTATTTTCCTGCTGGTATACTTCAAAGTCCATTGTATCATCATGAACAACCTTTATCCTTAAATTTCGGTGGAATTGGTATGGTTGTAGGCCATGAAATTACTCATGCCTTTGATCAACATGGTAAGTCTAATAAAAAAAAATAATAAATCATTTCATTACTAGATGATTGAAAATACTTTTTGGGGGTTTGTTTAAACCACTGCGCTACGTGAATTTTCTTTCTGTCGAAATGCATCGTGGTTGTGCTCCGTTTCATATTGGTTTGAACGTAAAATTATGTATAAGAATCGTAAGGTATACTCAGGCACAATATCAAATAGGCTTCAACCTATTTCAACGAACTTTCTGACGGAAATAGTGAAGAAGTATTGTGGATTATTTGAGCATACCTAGGATAAGGTGATATCGCTTCAGTTCATAGATTATCGTTTATTGTATCCCTTAAAGATTCTACATAAAGGAGTAAATGCCTCACAATAAGGAAGTTTTCAAGTATTGGTTTTGTATGGATTCCGTTTGATTGCATGGAGGGTTTCATCATGAGCTGACATCAGTTACAGAACCAATGGAAAACCTGGGAGTACTGGACAGCTGTTTCGTCCTAGTTTGCGACTCTTCAGCAGTACGCGCCCACTGAGGTTCGAACCCAGGACCTTCTGGCTATAATGCGAGCTCATAGACCATCCTGCCAATTGGATCCGATCCAATGGTTCTTGAATTCTAACTTCTGTCAATTCACGACATAGTGCGACCATTTCGCAATGTCTTCCTCTATGAGTTACTGCCGCATCTTCGACCTGCTGTACCCTACTGGTCACGGCTTCCTACTAGAACCCTCGGTTAACTGACTAGATAGGTTGATCACCTTGTAACCAGACGGTCCTGGGTTTGAACCCCGGGGGTGCATACTACTGAAGAGTCCCAAACTAGGACGAAGCAGCTGTCCAGTACTCCCAGGTTTTCCATTGCTTCTGTAATTGATGTCAGCTCATGATGAAATCCTCCATGTAATGAGGAAGTTGCTGAGAATTTCGTATTTGTGTGTAAATGTAGCCATTATAATTATTATTATTACTAAAAACAACAGAAAATAATTTCCATGTTCAGTGTAAAATGAACTCCAGATGCTGACATCAGCTATAAAAGGATTTTTTTAAATGAATAGTATGAATTCTAGATATATGTTAAAATTATATTTGTACAAACTCAGCAAAATTGACACAAATAATGAAAAATATATGTTTATGCGATGTACAATGGTGTGTGTGTGTGTTGTGAGGGAACAATTATAACTCATTTGTTAGCCTTTCCTTCAGTAGGTATAAACTATCGGGAAATTAGATTAGATATGGAAAATTAGTGATAGGGCCTCTGCTGTCAGTCTGTTTTTATGTGAATCAAAAAGTTTCTGTAGAATCTTTGTCCTGTCATAGTCGATCTTCTGTCCTGTTTTTAGCTGATGTGTAGTGCAATCCCTGAATTATTTCCTAGCTTCTTCAAATCTGAAGACCTTTATGAAACTATCTATAGACGCTGTATATACTCTTTTACACTCACCTCTCTGGAAATTTCTCCCAAGTATACATCATCACTTATGACTTCGAATTCTTCCGATTGGGCCATATGAGTTATGTAACACTCTAAACAGTAATAACAGTATAATTCATTGTATTTATTATAATTATTGTTCTTTTGGGTTCCGAGTGGAACATGGGGCTTCAACAGCACACCTCCTGTATGTCTTACTTTTCGTGGTCCGTTTTAGCTGGCTCCACGACTGGCTATAGGCTCTCATTCACTCCTCCCCACACGATCACCTCCGCATCACCAGCAGACCACAACCCATTTCTTCGTCTCCCACTCAGGTTCCCTTGAGGTTATGCCTGGTGCGCAACGTCATTCGACAGTCTCCTCAGTGTGAACCTAGTCCGTCTCCATTTTCTTCGGAATATTTGTTAAGGGCTAGGTTCTTGATTGGTTTGTTCTCAGTTTCTTGTTGATAATTCTTTCTAGCCATTTGTTCTCGAATATGGAGTGAGGACAGTTGTTGACAGAAGTTTGCGATAGCATATTGGAAATGTTTTTCGTGAAGCATTCACCAAGCTTTTAACCCATATAGAAGCAGTGACTGGCTTAACAGTGGTGTCGAAAATCTGAATTTTGTTTTGTGTGTTGAGAGCGGAAGATTTCCAAGCTAGTTTCAGAGTGATGAGGGCCTGTCCCGCCTTTCTGACTATGGCTGGCTAATTTTCTAGCCAGTTACAAGCCTGGGAAAGTGAATGGAAGGGGTTGGCATTGAGACTAGAGATCCAACACCACCAAACCAATCGGACTGCTATAATAAACTTCAGAGAACAAGCAAAATATTGAAATTGTATACATGAAGGTAAAAGAAAGAGTCATCAGTGAGGAATTTTCATTTCAGAACTTCATCATGAGCTTATACTCACTAGTGAGTGGCCGTATTCAGGTAGGTAGTTACCTGGTTTTTAGTGGGAATTCGTGACCAATAGAATATAGCAGGTCGAGTGTTACGGCAAATACCCGCCGGCAAAATTCGTTAGTGGTCGCACTATACAATGAATTGGCAGAAGTTGGAATTCACGGGGTGGCCATCGGATCACATCCAGTGGCTGTATGGTCTACGAGCTCTCCTTGTAGCCAGAAGGTCCTGGGTTTGAACCCCACATTTTGGGTGCACACTGATGAAGAGTCCAAACCACTAGGACGAGACGGCTATGCAGTACTCCCAGGTGGCTTTCCAATGGTCCTCCAATCGATGTCAGTTCATGGTGAAATCCTGTAACCAACCAATCAAATCCCTACAACCCAACACTTGGATGTTCTATTCATCTAAATCATGCTATATGTACTTCATTGTTCATACAGTTTATTATTTCACGCAACGAACATGAATGCAGTCGCATTTATTGTAACTGGGATTTAACTTATGTGAATATTTCGTCAGTACAGGCTTAGTGATCGTGTCTTCATATCGCTGTGTATTAAAATCTTCATTTCGATGTATCAATAAACAAAGTAACATAAATATATTAGAAATAAATCTCCATATCAAAAATCACAAATAAATAAAGCAGTTGAAGGGTATTGTGTTTTGTAATTCTCAAAGGATTTTGTTGTTTTCTTTTTCTTTGTCTTCTTAACAAGAAACACTGTAAGTTTTTCGAAATGTCTGAAAATGAGAACAAACATCTGTCTAAGTAATTTCTAATTCCATAAAAATAAACAATCAACTTCTTTTTGAGATGATCCACCTGATTATACATCAAGTTTTTTTGCTAGTTATGTAAACGCTACAGTTGTTTGAGCTTTTCTTTCTGCATTATATAGCGGAATAAAAAGAATCGCAGGCAATTTTGTCTTTGAATTTGTAAATGAACTCTCTTAACCAGGGATACTGAAAAGAAACTAATGAAACTTAGGAAGTAAGCAATTGTATCCTGAAGATTTCTAATAGATATACAATTGATTTAAAATTTAGAATAACTAATGTAAATCAAGCTGGTGTTGAGTAGATTTTCACTTCTCTTAAGTTCATTGAAGCTAACAAGAATAGTAAATTGTGTTTATACGAGTTTGTTCACGGATCGATACCAGTTAGCGAAGCATTGAAAACCCGAACTGGAGTACTGGACATCTGTTTCATCCTGATTTGGGTAGTAAGAATTCATGGGCCACTGAATCGGATCCCAGTGACGGAATGGTATACGAGCTTACCTTTTAACCGGAAGGCCTTGGTTTCAGTCACTGGAGGAGGGGTGCTACTGTCGATGATTCCCAAACTAGGATGAAACAACTGTTCAGTACTCATTTGTTTTCACTGGTTCTCTAACTGATATCGATCAGTGGGCAAACTTGTATAAACATATATAATCCTCACAAACTAACTCTTGAAAAGTAAATTGTGTGTCAAAGTTTAACCTTAAGCTTATCATATGTTATATAATAAAAAACGTAAATGACAAATGAAGATCATTGTTTGCTTAATGTAGGGGTCTTCCATCAGTTACTGTTGAGACAACTTTTACGAATGTTCCTATTTTTCTCTATCCTATTTATGATTGGTGAAATGGAATGCGATATTATTACTTGATGATAGATTGTTAATAGATTATAGTCCAAAATATATGAGTATGTGGTAATATGTAAAATTTTAATACTAAATTGAACTCCAATATTACAAAGTCTCTATTCACAAATACACCCCTAGCGGAAGTGGTTAACCACTTATGTAAACAGGCGTGTTACCAGTAAATGACAGATGGCATCCCAACAGGAATGCTGGAAGAGCTGCTATTAAGATGTATCATAAATGTAAATTTAAGATTTAATGGCATACTTAACAGAAAAGTGGATGAGATGGCAATGGACTCCTCATCGGGTCTCATATTGGCAGATGACCCTTTGAAAAACTTTATCAGAAAATTCACATTTTATTGTCGGTATATGGATGACACCCTAATTCTTCATGAAAATGATTCGAACAGGAACACAATAATAATTCAGTGAACTACATTCTGCTACGAAATTCACGTACAAAGAGGAATCCCAAAATAAAATTGCCTTCACAGATGTCCTTCATATAAGAAAACCAGATGGGTAGTATTGAGGGGAATTTGCATAGGAAACGCACATGGACATAAGAATATTCAAATTTCTATAGCTTTGTTCATTTCCAGTACAAGAGAAATTTAACAAGGACCCTCATTTACAGGGTCAGAGACGCATGTTCAGAAGACTTAAATGGAGATGAACTAAGGATTGTATATGATACCTTAATTGAAGGAAAGTTCATCAAAAAACACATGACGAAGAAAGAGTGACGCACATAGAGAAATAATTGCTTGCAACTTAAGGAAATCTGTTCGAATAAATGTTATTGCTGGTAACCTAAAAGTCATATCTTCTAAACTACCGATGAAGATTCGTCAACTTAAAGAGGAAGTAGCTAGACTAGCCACTTCTAACTGTATCTATCAATTCTACTCTGATTGTGAAGCGAGTTATACTGGCCATTGCTCTAGGAACGTGATTTTCTTGCTCTCTCAGGAACATCTGACAGTGGGGCTAAATATAGGTGTAGTGAAAACTATCAACAG